ACACACACACACACACACACACACACACACACACACACACACTCCAAGGATATAGTAATTTGTTTCTCTGGAGAGGACTTTAACCTTGACCAGTCCCTTCTGTGGTCAAAAGACTCAGGGGCACTATGGATATCTCATCATTCCTCCTTTGCCAAGGAACAGAGGGGCCTCACCTCCACCTACTTTCTTTCTGTTCACAGAAAGAATACTCTCCTCAGGCCATATTTCATATCGAAAATGAGAAGCAGAGGCTAAATGGCTCAGGTAAGTCAGACCCACGTAGAATTCCTCAGGGGTGCAACCTGAGCTAATCCTTTTGGAATGTTCTGTAAAAGTACATTCCTTAGTCACAATTTTCCTGCACCCCCACCTTGTTCAACAGCTGGATTGGTTTACCCCCTGCATCAAAAGCTTTGGTGCCATCTGGGTTCAAATTCCAGCTCCACTACTAACTAGTTATGTGATCTTGGGCAAGTCACTTGAGCTTTATTTTCCTCATTTCTGAAAGGGGCATAACCATAGTTGATCAAATAATAGATTAAATGAGATGAATGGTAAATTGGATATAATCCTCTAAAGAATGGATATGAGATAGTGAACGCCAAATGTCTGGCATCATACCTTGCACTTATGGTGGATGGATGTTGATGAGACATTATCAACCTGGCCAATCAAAGAGGTCCCTGAAGATTAAAGTGTGTCACTTGGGTCCTTGGGACCCTGGGTGGTAACCTAGGAGCAGAGAAGTGCAGGGACCTCTGAGTCAGAGGAGAAGCTGGAACTGGGCAGTGGCCAAGGGCCAGCCAGAGAGGACTTGGCTGGCAGTTGGCCTAGGAGGCACCAAGGCTGGAGAGGACACAGAGGCAAAGGATGTGGTACTGTGTGGTTGAGGCCCCAACAGCCAGCTCAAGATTCCCTGGCCCACACAGGTACAGCTTTGAACAGATGCCATGTACCCTGGACAGCTCCGGGGAGTCTATAGATTTCAAGGGCACTAGTTGTGGGTGGAGAACTAGATTGGCGTCTTGGCTCTTCCAACTAGCTGTGTGAGCATAAGCAAGCCACCTCACCTCCCTGAGTCTCAATTGTCTCATCTAAACTGAAGATAATATCTATCCTTCATTGAATACTCGATGAAATAAGAGAGAGGCGGTAGAGCAGAGTGGCCCATGTCTGATGTCAGACCACCTGAGTTTGTAGCCCAGCTCCACACTGTGATTGGAGAGAAATTGCTTAACATCTCTGATCCTCAGTTTGCTCATCTGTAAAATTGGAAGGCTAATAGATCCTAATTTAAAAGATCATGAAGATAAAATAGGACATAAAGCATACAGTAAACATTAGTTTTTGTTTTAGAAGAGACTTAGCACAGCACCAGGCACAGAGTAGATAATTAAAACTGTCAGTTTCTAGTATCTTTTAAAGCCCCCTGTTGACTTTGCCCCTCCATCTTTAAACTCTTTTGGTTGGTTCTCCCAGCTGACTATTAAAGAGATTCCAGAAAGCCAGAGAAATCAATCTTGTGACATCCCACAGGCTTCCTACCACGACCTCTTCCCCCAATGAACTCCCCTGCTTCTCAGTGCCACCCACCCCAGGATGCCTTGGAATACTTTATTTTTTAATGCTAGTATATAGTGTTTGTTCTGTGCCAGCCACTGCTCTAAAATGCAGAGGGTGCCCAAAAAATGTATATACATTTTAAGAAAGGAAAAAAATGTATTAAAATATATACCAATAACAAACGGTGAATACAAGTCACGTTTGACTTCTGCAATTACAAGAGGTGCTCAAAGTGGTTACCATCAGCGTCCAGACACTTNATACCAATAACAAACGGTGAATACAAGTCACGTTTGACTTCTGCAATTACAAGAGGTGCTCAAAGTGGTTACCATCAGCGTCCAGACACTTCTGATTATGGTGAACTACTGCTTGAGCAACATTGACCAAAGTGTTAACATCTCTTAAAATGCACATACATGTTTTTGGCACCATGGAATATCACTTACTCTCACAACTGTGCGATAAGTACTATAGATATCCCCACTTTACAGATAAGAAAACTGAGGCTCTGCGTGGTTAGGTAACTAAATCGTGGGGTCACTTAGCTAGTGGCGCTGGGATCCCTTCCTAGGGATAGTGCGTCAGACCCCTACACCTGCTTGTAGCATTGAACGAGACCAGCGGCCAGGAAAATGCAGAAGAGTAGGTCGGAGACCAAGGATGGAAATCAGGACACCGGGTTCTCGCCTTGACCCTGGAACCACCGGGCCAGGAGTCCTCGAGCCAGACGCTTACCTGCGGCACACTGCCTGCTGCCAGGGCGGGGATACCTGCGCTTGCCCTTGCCCCCTCCCCCACTTCTCCTCCCCCCCAACCCCCCTCCCCCCAACGAAGGCGCCTCAGCTCCCGGCGCTCCGGCAGCCGAGGTAACCTGATCCGCTGCGGGGTTTAGACCTCGGGGCCGCGTCACCGCCGCGGAGACGCTGGACTCCGGACTACGTTCCACTGCGCTCCCTGCCCGCAGTGACCGCTCCGTAGTCGGGCGCGCGGGCACATGGCGCAGAGGCTGGGCGAGAGGCCACGGGGGCCCGCCGAGGCCACGGGGCTCTACCGGGCCGTGCTGCTCAGGTCGGGTAAGTGGGGACAAGGCCACCTGGCCCCCAACTAGGTGAGAAAGCGGAGGAGGGCACGGCGAGCGCACTGCGTTCAGCACCTGGCCAGCCCGCCGCCTGTATCCTTCGTTGCTCTGTTTTCCTCCTTTCCTTTCTTTCTTTCCTCCCTTCTTTCATTTTTCTTAATTACTTTTTGTCTTTCTCTTTTCCTTTCATTCCTTCTTTCCTTCCTACATTCTTCCCTTTGGGGATCTACCCTTGGATATATTATTTTATTCTTATGTGTGATTGCGCCTACACACACATGCACACACACACACCCAGTTTCGTGACGACTAAAGTCCTGCGAGGTTCCATCTCCTGGCGGGTCTCTTAAGTAGAGACTCACACAAGTGCGCGAAGGCGCGCTTAGGCGTGGGAGTGCAGAAAATCCAATGGGTAACACTCGGGACGCACGCTGAGGGTCAGCAAGGAGCACAGGACCGACTGATGCCCGTGAGGGTGTTACGTTAGAGGAAGAGTGCAAGTTATAGCAAGCCGGGAACCGTTTTTCTGTATATATCATTTAAGAAGAAAAAGAATTGGAAGGAAACATATAACTTGTTTTTGAGGATGGGAGTTGGATGACAAGTGTAATTTCTCCTGTTTATGCTTTTTGTTTGAAGTAAACACGTATTTTCTACTCAGGACGATACGAGATTTTTTTATTAGGAAAATAAAACGTAATATATGGTCAGTGTACAAATGTGGGAAAGGCATGCAGAGAGAAGAAGAAGAATGACCGCAGTGAACGTTTAGGGTGTTTCCTTCCGGACTTTGTGATGGAGAGAAACGTTTAGGGAAGGTGAAAATCGTTCTTCTGTGGGTCCCCTGCTGGTTGGGAATACGTGATTAGAAAATATTAAGGAAGCTGGGCTCACTGGGCAGCTACCCTCTGCCGTGGTCGAGGAGCTACCACCCCCCACCCCCCAGTTCGCCCCAGTAGCCCTGCCCGGCAGACCCCTGGAGCCAAAAGTGCGAGGCGAGCCCTTGGCGGCGGGCTGCAGCGGTCCCGCCTGCCCCCGCGTGCCTTCCGCACTGGGACTGATTGCCTTTCTCAGTTAGACTGGTTCCGCGGGGTGAGGGGTGGGGGTTACCCCGCGCTTGGGAACACTGGAACAACGGGTCTCTGAGTCCAAAAACAAGAGCTGGCCAAGACTTCAGGACTGGCGGCGCCTTCCTGGGGGAGGGTCTTAAGTCTGGCTGAGCCCGGACAGGCAGAAAGGGAGGAGTTCTCTAATTAAATGAATCTGACTTCAAATCCCAGCTCTAGCGATTTCCCCACCAAGCACTCTCCCTAAGTGTCCCCACGCAGTTCCTATCGTCTCTCAGAGATGAGAAGGGGGTATCTCTCATCTGAAACCGTGTGTTCCCTTTAACTTGGAGCTGCAGCTATGAGGCTTCACAACAAATGTAACATTTTTCGCTTGCAGCCCATCCAGAGTAGCAGACATATTAGACTCATTCCAGGGGCCACATACTGGCGTGGTAACTGTACGACACACAGCCACAAAGCCAGGGAGGGAACAGAGGCCTGAGACTGGGGCCTCAAGGAGGGAACACTTACTCCGTGCTAGGCACTGTGCCACTGGCTCACTCCTTCTTCACAGCCCTATAAGGTCACTGCTAATTGTCACCCCTATTTAATGGATGAGGAGACTGGGGCTCAGAGAGCTTCACCAGCTTGTGCATGGCCCTGCTAAGGGACCTTTTCTATCCCACTAAAGGGTGGAAAACGCATTCAAATTTAGACTCATCTATACCAAAGTCGGCACACCTTCTGAGAGTAATAACAATGGCAAATGATTATTGGTCACTGGTTATTGCCAGTGTCTCTGCAAAATGCTTACTCATCAACTTCATTCATTTAATCATAGAGTGAAACCCAAGATGGCAGCCATTTTCATACAGCAGCCTCAAGTCATGCACGCAAATACTGTAACACTTTTTAGAAAATGTTTTATCCCAAATTAGTTTAAAATAATTTCTTAATATTACAATAGCACATGTTCACCATGAATATTTAGGGAAATAGAGATAAGGGGGAAGCCTTACCCATAATCCCACTAACCATAAGCAGCCACTGGTAACATTTCAATCTTTGCTACGCATCATTTCTATGTGTGGTTGTATGTGTTTGTTTTACATTGCCAGTACAATTACTGTAATTACAGTACAATCTGACTCTAGTTTTTGATCCCACTTTTTTCACTTGGATGAAAATCTTTAATGCTATAAAAGAGGTTATAGAGATAACAGCTACCACTTTGGAGCCCACACTCTGGGGCAGGCACTGTGTGAAGGGCTTCCCATGCTGTAATTCCTTTATTCCTCAAAAGAATGTCTGCCCCATTTTAGAGATGAGGAAATAGGGAGTTGGAGGTCACCTGGCTGTCCAGCCATGGGGCCAGGAGTGGTATCTGTGGGGACATCAGAGCCCAGGCTCTGAACCACTGAGCTGGAAGGGTCACCTCAGGGGAATGTTTGGCCATGCCTGGTACGCTCTGCAGTGCTGTAGTAAAGGTCCACCTGTGGTCAACTACTGGCATCCTACCTGGAGCTCAGTCCAGGCTACTGGCAGGGAGGAAAGCATCTCTCTGCAGCACA